GGACAGGTCATAGTGGAGAGTTTTGACCAAACGTGATCCATAGAATCATAGAATCATAGAGTTGGAATAGACCACAAGGGCCATCGAGTCCAACCCCCTGCCAAGCATCCACCTGGAGCAGGAACCGGCAAGCCACTCCAGTATCCCTGCCAAGAAAACTCCATGGACAAAGACAACAGGCATATAAAAGATATGACGCTGGAAGATGAGCCCCTCAGGTCGGAAGGCGTCCAACATGCTACTGAGGAAGAGCGGAGGACAAGTACAAGTAGATTGAGAGCTGATGAAGTGGCTGGGCCAAAGCCAGAAGGACGCTCAGTTGCGGATATGCCTGGAAGCGAAAGGAAAATCCAATGCTGTAAAGAAAAATATTGCATAGGAACCTGGAATGTAAGAACCATGAACCTTGGTAAGTTGGATGTGGTCAAAAATGAGATGGCAAGAATAAATATTGACATCCTGGGCATCAGTGAACTAAAATGGACGGGAATGGGAGAATTCAGTTCGGATGACCATCATATCTACTACTGTGGGCAAGAATCCCGTAAAAGAAATGGAGTGGCCCTCATAGTCAACAAAAGAGTGGCAAAAGCTGTACTGGGATGCAATCTCAAAAATGATAGAATGATCTCGATACGAATCCAAGGCAGACCTTTTAACATCACAGTAATCCAAGTTTATGCACCAACTACTGGTGCTGAAGAAACTGAAATTGACCAATTCTATGAACACTTACAACACCTTATAGAAATGACACCAAAGAAGGATGTTCTTCTCATTATAGGGGATTGGAATGCTAAAGTAGGGAGTCAAGAGATAAAAGGAACAACTGGCAAGTTTGGCCTTGGAGTTCAGAACGAAGCAGGGCAAAGGCTAATAGAGTTCTGCCAAGAGAACAAGCTGGTCATCACAAACACGCTTTTCCAACAACACAAGAGACGACTCTACACATGGACATCACCAGATGGGCAGCATCGAAATCAGATTGACTATATTCTCTGCAGCCAAAGATGGAGAAGCTCTATACAGTCAGCAAAAACAAGACCTGGAGCTGACAGTGGCTCAGATCATCAGCTTCTTATAGCAAAATTCAAGCTTAAACTGAAGAAAGCAGGAAAAACCACTGGGCCGGTAAGATACAATCTAAGTCAAATCCCTTATGAATACGCAGTGGAAGTGAGGAACAGGTTTAAGGATTTAGATTTGGTGGACAGAGTGCCTGAAGAACTATGAATGGAGGCTCGTAACATTATACAGGAGGCAGCAACCAAAACCATCCCAATTAAAAGGAAATGCAAGAAAGCAAAGTGGCTGTCCAACGAGGCCTTACAAATAGCGGGGGAGAGAAGGCAAGCAAAATGCGAGGGAGATAGTGAAAGATACAGGAAATTGAATGCAGATTTCCAAAAAAATAGCAAGGAGAGACAAGAAGGCCTTCTTAAATGAGCAATGCAAACAAATAGAGGAAAACAACAGAATGGGAAGAACCAGAGATCTGTTCAAGAAAATTGGAGATATGAAAGGAACATTTTGTACAAAGATTGCCATAATAAAAGACAAAAGTGGAAAGGACCTAACAGAAGCAGAAGACATCAAGAAGAGGTGGCAAGATTACACAGAGGAACTATACCAGAAAGAAATGGATGCCTCGTACACCCCAGGTAGTGTGGTTGCTGATCTTGAGCCAGACATCCTGGAAAGTGAAGTCAAATGGGCCTTAGAAAGCACTGCTAATAACAAGGCCAGTGGAAGTGATGATATTCCAGCTGAACTATTTAAAATTTTAAAAGATGATGCTGTTAAGGTGCTACACTCAATATGCCAGCAAATTTGGAAAACTCAGCAGTGGCCAGAGGATTGGAGAAGATCAGTCTACATCCCAATCCCTAAGAAGGGCAGTGCCAAAGAATGCTCCAACTACCGCACAATTGCACTCATTTCACACGCTAGCAAGGTTATGCTTAAAATTCTACAAGGAAGGCTCAAGCAGTATGTGGACCGAGAACTCCCAGAAGTGCAACCTGGATTTAGAAGAGGCAGAGGAACCAGAGACCAAATTGCAAACATGCGCTGGATTATGGAGAAAGCTAGAGAGTTCCAGAAAGACATCTACTTCTGCTTCATTGACTATGCAAAACCTTTGACTGTGTCGACCACAGCAAACTATGGCAAGTTCTTAAAGAAATGGGAGTGCCTGATCACCTCATCTGTCTCCTGAGAAATCTCTATGTGGGACAAGAAGCTACAGTTAGAACTGGATATGGAACAACTGATTGGTTCAAAATTGGGAAAGGAGTACGGCAAGGCTGTATATTGTCTCCCTGCTTATTTAACTTATATGCAGAATTCATCATGCGAAAGGCTGGGCTGGATGAATCCCAAGCCGGAATTAAGATCGCCGGAAGAAATATCAACAACCTCAGATATGCAGATGACACAACCTTGATGGCAGAAAGTGAGGAGGAATTAAAGAACCTTTTAATGAGGGTGAAAGAGGAGAGCGCAAAATATGGTCTGAAGCTCAACATCAAAAAAATGAAGATCATGGCCACTGGGCCCATCACCTCCTGGCAAATAGAAGGGGAAGAAATGGAGGCAGTGAGAGATTTTACTTTCTTGGGCTCCATGATCACTGCAGATGGTGACAGCAGTCACGAAATTAAAAGAGGCCTGCTCCTTGGGAGAAAGGCGATGGCAAACCTAGACAACATCTTAAAAAGCAGAGACATCACCTTGCCAACAAAGGTCCGTATAGTAAAAGCCATGGTTTTCCCAGTAGTAATGTATGGAAGTGAGAGCTGGACCATAAAGAAGGCTGATCACCAAAGAATTGATGCTTTTGAATTATGGTGCTGGAGGAGACTCTTGAGAGTCCCATGGACTGCAAGAAGATCAAACACATCCATTCTTAAGGAAATCAGCCCTGAGTGCTCACTGGAAGGACAGATCCTGAAGCTGAGGCTCCAAGACTTTGGCCACTTCATGAGAAGAGAAGACTCCCTGGAAAAGACCCTGATGTTGGGAAAGATGGAGGGCACAAGGAGAAGGGGACGACAGAGGATGAGATGATTGGACAGTGTTCTCGAAGCTACAAACATGAGTCTGACCAAACTGCGGGAGGTAGTGGAAGACAGGAGTGCCTGGCGTGCTCTGGTCCATGGGGTCACGAAGAGTCGGACACGACGAAACGACTAAACAACAACAACAATATTCCAATAGGAACGCACTAGAGAAGTGTAGGGTTTTTACTTTGTTTTTACTATCTGTGTTAGTATGACTCTCATTCTACATATTTAAGCACACTTAAAAACCTCAGGGTCAAGCAAGATCTTGTGTAATTTATGCATGCTTACTAGGAAGAGATTTCCATTTGAACTCGCTGGTGCTGGCTCTGAATTAAATGGAATACCTTTCAACTTATTCAGAGTTCAGATTTACAATTTCCTTGGCATGAATCTTGGACTTCCCTAAACTGACACAGGCCTGGCTGCCCACTTGAGTTAAGAGAGGCTTCAAAAGTTGCTTTGCTTTTTTTTGCAAAATTACAAGCCACGATTGTCTTGGGCAGATAATTAAAACCAATGTTATCTGGCTGATAATGTCAAAGTTTGTACAATAAACTGGTTGTAAGCTTTGTACTGAGCTGTGCACATGGTGGGTTTGTAAGATAAACCCAGGCTTCCTTTGGCCACCTTGCGGTTATCTGATTGGTTGACAGAAATGGATAACATCTTATCTACAAGGAATGATGCTGTAATGTTTCACTTCATGGCCTTGCGCTCTGTTCAAACACTGTGCTAGTTCTGAGCAGCAAAAGGCACCTGGCTCTGTAGAAGAAGCAGAGCCTGTCTAAACCTTATTCAGCAGAGAGAAAAAGCAACAACAGTAGAAAAAGGTTTGCCTAGACTTTTCCAGTGACAGAGGAGAATTTTGTTTGGTTTGCATTTTTAAGTGACCTGATCTAATTTGCACCTCCTGGATTAATACAATGCAATTATCCATCAGCTTTTGCACTTCTTTCAATTTTGCCATATGGATGTTGTCTCAAAATGTGTAAAAAAGAAAGAAAGAAAGAGGTGCTTGGGATAAAATACATCTAGAAATGTGTACATTGGGATAAAATATATTTTTAATACATGCCTTGTTTTTTAATTATATTTCTATTGAAGTTTTAATAACACATAATGATAACAAGACAGGCAAGCATAAAGTGTAAAATATTAACTAAACATTTAAGTCCACATTTAAATATATGGCTGGGATAACCCAGTCAGATTGGGGGGGGTGTATAAGTAGTACCGGTAATTAATAATGATGGTGATGGTGATGATTGTATGGATTTCTTTTTTATGCAGTTTAATGTGGGAACAGGACAGAACAGATTTATGAATGAATGTAAAATTGATGTTGGCTGGGGAAACACTGATCTGTCCCTCTTTGAACCCTTTCAACATGGGGTGGAACATTAGGAAAAGTGTCTGATTGATTGATTGATTGATTGATTGAATTTATTTCCAGTTCTTCCACCCCAAGGAGTCTGTGGCAACAAACAGATGCACTATTTGAAACCAAAACCAACATTTTAGAACAGATTAAAACATTCTAAAAACCACTACAATTAAAAGCACCAAAAATCACTTACATTTTTTTAAAATACAAGAAAGCATTCTAAAAGCAATTAAACACAGTTATAAAAACATTCTTCCATCCAATAATCCTAGGGTTGCCTGGAATGGTCTTTAACCACCAAATGCCTGAGTAAACAGGACTTTTCCCCAATGCCTCCTGACAGTTAATAATGAGGGAGACATTTCACCATGAGTGAACCACCACTGAAAAGGCCCTGTCACAGGTCTGTGCCAACCGGGCACCACCACCAAGACCATGCTTTGCTGATGGTAGGAGCAGCCCCCAAACTGGACCGCTTACCTAGAGGGGGAGTGGGCTTTCTGTCATGAAATGCTGAAAAGTAATCTATCTTGTTTTTGTTGTTTCCCTAGGATCTTGCTGTAACCCACCCTGAATTTTTTATCACACTGGACACATCACGTTAAGAGTCACTAACTATGGCAGACAATTTTAAAGGCTCTTTAAGGTAAGTATTGGTACCCCCTCCCCTCTTCATGTGCCTTACATTGAACATTGTACCTCGGGGAATCTCACATGGAGGTTGCCCCGTGGGGAACAGAGCCAGTTTGGAAGACAATTTGGCACAATTGGTTTGCTGTATTTCCTGCATTGCAGGGTTTGGACTTGATGGAGGGCATTCCTTGGGGCTGGCCAGGCTGGCCCTGCTGATGGCCCAGGCCCAGACTGGGTGGGTGCAAAAGTGGCACCTCTGGCTTGGAGTGGCCAGGAGTCTGCCTGCCTGTCTGCGCACGCTCTGGGCGCTGGGTGAGGTGCGCAGGCTCCTCTGGGAGGAGGAATCCAGCCACTGGGATGGGCCATTGCAGCAGCCCTCTGGGACCCTCTCTTCAGTCAGCCGGTGGCACGATTAGAAGTGTGAGAGGAACTGGGGAAGAAAGACTGTGAGGACAGGCAGAAGTTGCAGGAAGAGGTAAAAGGGAGGGAGGCAGATGGACTGGCAGAGGAGGAGGAGGAGGAGGCAGAGCAGAGCAAACCTGCCCCCAATGGCTGTGGAGGAAGTTGCTGGTGGAGTGCAAAGGAAGGGCTTTTTGAGTTTCTGGTGCATGGTTTGTCCCGGCTTTGGGGGCTCCCAGACAGCCCCTGGCCAAGGGCGCATGGGAGCCTAGCTTCCAGGATTCAGGTACTGGCTCATCATCCATTACAAGCCCCATCCCCGGGTAAAACATGTCTATGGGGAGGACGGGGTGAAGAGCATGACTGGTGGCGGCTGGAGCTCCGATGGCAGCAGGGCCTGAGGCAGGGTGCTAATGGTGGCAGGGACAGTGGTGGCCCCTTCTGGCCGGGGGAGCCCAGGCACCTGCCCAGCCAGGCCAGAGCCTCTGCTTCCAGTATTCATAGAATCATAGAATCATAGAATCATAGAGTTGGAAGAGACCACAAGGGCCATCGAGTCCAACCCCCTGCCAAGCAGGAAACACCATCAGAGCACTCCTGACATATGGTTGTCAAGCCTCTGCTTAAAGACCTCCAAAGAAGGAGACTCCACCACACTCCTTGGCAGCAAATTCCACTGTCGAACAGCTCTTACTGTCAGGAAGTTCTTCCTAATGTTTAGGTGGAATCTTCTTTCTTGTAGTTTGGATCCATTGCTCTGTGTCCGCTTCTCTGGAGCAGCAGAAAACAGCCTTTCTCCCTCCTCTATGTGACATCCTTTTATATATTTGTACATGGCTATCATATCACCCCGTAACCTCCTCTTCTCCAGGCTAAACATGCCCAGCTCCCTTAGCCGTTCCTCATAAGGCATCGTTTCCAGGCCTTTGACCATTTTGGTTGCCCTCCTCTGGACACGTTCCAGTTTGTCAGTGTCCTTCTTGAACTGTGGTGCCCAGAACTGGACACAGTACTCCAGGTGAGGTCTGACCAGAGCAGAATACAGTGGCACTATTACTTCCCTTGATCTAGATGCTATACTCCTATTGATGAGGCCCAGAATTGCATTGGCTTTTTTAGCTGCCGCGTCACATTGTTGGCTCATGTCAAGTTTGTGGTCAACCAAGACTCCTAGATCCTTTTCACATGTACTGCTCTCAAGCCAGGTGTCCCCCAGGGAGGAGGCGAGGGCAAGGGCTGCTTTCCATCTTAGCCCAGCCCTATGCCAGGGGTGGGTGGCAAAAGGGGCGGAGCAACAGATAGGACCCTTACTTTTGAACCGTCAGCAAAAGTTGGTGGTTTACATGCATACAGCCATTAACCACCCCTGCAGCCTCCATCCAGGCAAGCAAGAGGTTGGGGACACAGAGAATGGCCAGTGAGGGGGTGTGCCTACAAGGAAGGGGGTGGCCTGAGCAGGGGCGTAGCTTGGGTAGAGCTCAGAAAGCCAAGTAGAGAGACCTGCAGGGCCCCCTTTGCCACTATAGGGTGGGATGTTAGCATGGAGTGTGGAGGACAGCCGTGCAGGTATTATATTTCTTTCTTTCTTTCTTTTTTTCTTAAAAAACACACATTTATATACCACTATTTCACAAAAACTCCAAAGCACCAACCCACCAGTGATGCTTCTGCAGGTGATCTCAGTGACTGAGCTGGGGAGAAGGGTTCAGGAGGTCCCTGAGGGGCTTTGCCACTGGATCCAAGGATGGTGAACCTTGCAGTTTCCCTCCAGAATGCGGATTCCTTGTCAGATTAGTAATACAATGGCCAGTTGGTAACCCTGTTCAAAGATGCCCTTGGAGTGCAATCCCATGTTGAGTCAGAAGTCAGTGCTACGGTGTTCGGCTCACACCCTGGCAAGTATTTTTTAGGACTGCATCTTCAGTGTATATGTTTTTGTACTTTCCAGTTTTGTTAACTGAATGCAGCCGGCCCCTTTGACTAAAAGTGAAACTGCTGTCTCCTTTGGAATGTCTTTTCCTGCTTTCTGCCCTGTATCAACCAACATTTACAAGCGACACACCCAGAGCATTTTTGGTGTGATTTGTGGAAGCATCTTTCTCCTTGGCTGTGAGACACATCTATGATCCCATTCCAAAGGGCTGCAAGGATGGAACCCCCCCCCCCCAGCCCAAGTTTTATTTAGCTCTGTTTTATGGCATTCTTGCATTTCATGACTGCCAGTGTGTAGCAAACCTTCTGGATTAGGAAGACTTTGTTGTTGTTTTTAAGAAAGAAGCCTCCTTCCTTTTTAAAATAGAGCATGGCAAAGCATTTAAGAGGCAGTTAATACAGCCAAAGCAAACCGTCATTTGATGGAACATGAAATATACCAATATATTTTTAAAAATCACAACACACTGAATCAAAATGAAGATCCCTGCCAAATTTCCTATGTGCATGAAGCCGAAAGTTGATAACAGCTTTGCAACTTGAGTCTACCAGACTGCACACCCAGGGCTTGCTAGAAAGTAGCTCCATTGTCCAATTGGGTTTCCATTCCCATCCACCAACAGGCCCTGATTATAATATTCTCTTTGGAAAAATGATTGGGATAAGCTTGGCACAGAATAATCACCCCAATCCTGAGGATTTTTAGCTCTGGAGAAAGAACTCTTAATCCGTTAAGTAATTTGCTTTGAAGATTAAGGGCTCTGCTCACTCCCAAATGGTTGCCCCCCTCATGTGGGATTTTTTGCAGAATGTATTCATGGAAATGCACATCTCCACATGCAGATTAGGAACTGCTGAGCCTTTTCCTCTCTTTGAACTGCAAGCTGTGGAACGATTTTCCTCCTACCAGTGTTGAGCTTTCTATGAATGAATGGTGTGTGTGTGTGTGTGTGTGTGTGAGAGAGAGAGAGAGAGAGAGAGAGAGAGAGAGAGAACGCAAGAGGGCACAGAGAAGTTAAAAGCAACTGCTCATTGGTGCAGCGGGTGGAGTTGCTTAATCCCCGAATTTGCAGAACACCACCTTCAATTCATGGAATCATAGCATTGGAAGGGACCATGGGGGTCATCTAGTCCAGCCCCCTGCAATGCAGGAATCTTTTGCCCAATGTGGGGCTCAAACCCACAACCCTGAGATTAAGAGTCTCCTGCTCTCCCAACTGGGCTATCCTGCTATGCACTGGAACACTTCACAGAAGACAAAAGGGACACATGTAGTTGGTTCAACATCTACGGCCATTCTGGGACCAGGACAGCCTGACCACAGTAGTAGTTCATGCATTGGTCACTTCAAGACTGGATTGTTGCAATGAGCTCCATGGGTGGCTTTGATCCAGAAGCTGCAGTTAGTGCAGAATGCTGCAGCACGATTGCTGACAGGAGTGAAGCCTTGCCAGGATATAATACTGCTGCTCGGAACTCTGCACTGATTTGTTGCCTGACCGAGTTCAAGATGTTACTATTGGTATGAAAAGCCCTTAACAGCTTAGGACCAGTTTACCAGTGAGATTGTCTGACGCAATGTATGCCCAATTGACTGCTTCAGTCTGCAGAACTGACCCTGTAAAAGGTAAAGGTACCCCTGCCCATACGGGCTAGTCTTGCCAGACTCTAGGGTTGTGCGCCCATCTCACTCTATAGGCCGTGGGCCAGCGCTGTCCGGAGACACTTCCGGGTCACGTGGCCAGCGTGACATCGCTGCTCTGGCGAGCCAGAGCCGCACACGGAAACGCCGTTTACCTTCCCGCTTGTAAGCGGTCCCTATTTATCTACTTGCACCCGGGGGTGCTTTCGAACTGCTAGGTTGGCAGGCGCTGGGACCGAACGACGGGAGCGCACCCCGCCGCGGGGATTCGAACCGCCGACCTTTCGATCGGCAAGCCCTAGGCGCTGAGGCTTTTACCCACAGCGCCACCCGCGTCCCCAACTGACCCTGTACCATGTGCCAAAGAGGACCTATTCTGCATTTGGAATAAATCAGTCTCTTAGTACAGCAGTGCCTACACTTTGGAACTCCCTGCCTAGTGATCTTAGCCAGGCACCTTCACTATACTTTTTTCGGTGCCTAAAACCATTTTTGTTTAGACAAGTCTATTCAAATGCTTAGACAGTTGATGTGTGTTTTTATCCATTTTTCGTTTGTTGTTAACTTTAATCTTTTTGAATGGTTTAAATTATGGTTGTTAACTTTTATAGATAATTCTGTTATTTTATCTTTCTTGTAAATTGCTTCGATTTTTTTTTTTTTTACAATCAAGCAATTGTAGGAGTGTTAGTAAGTAAGTAAGTAAGTAAGTGAGTGAGTAAGTAAGTAAGTAAGTAAGTAAGTAAGTAAATAAATAAATGCTATAACATCCCTACATGTTCATGCCAAGTCTCACTTCCCATCAGGGGTGAGCCTGTAGCCCAAGTAGGATGTTGGCTCCCCACAAATGATTTAAGGCATGTCTAACTGTGCCCTGCTTCCGGGCCATTGCTCAGGGTTAAAATGCCCAGCAGGGAGTGTGTGTGAGCCAAACATGTGACAGGGAGACGGAGGCATTGTGGAGCCCACTGTAGTCTATTCAGTGTGCGTATTTACCTATCTATATCTAACAATACTAAGCTTAATCTCTTCCAGGAAAATGTCTCAAATTTCCCCTTCAGCTACTCTCTGTGGGTTCTATCCAACCTTCTCCATCTGCTAGCACAAGCCGGGAAGCCCTGGCTGTTCAAAGTGGCAACATAGTGCTGTAAATGCAAGCTGTGAATGTGCCCTGAAGCTGTGACAATGCCTCTTGCCCACGTGGAGGATGGAGTATGCATGTGCAGAAATCTCTGGCTTTTGAGCTTCTATACAAAGCTAAGACCCACTACTGTCTCTGCCTCGCCCACCAGCAGCATGCATGGGCTGCAGAAACTCCCCCCCAGTTCGCAGCTCAGCTCAGCTGGACTTCTCAGCAGAGGGAGGGCTGCAATGCGGAACAAACAGAATCTGTCAGCTGGAGAAGGCTATTTTATTCTGATAGGCCTTTGGGAACGGACTGGCTTTTCTTAAGCAAATGCTTAAATAGCACTGTGCTGCATTTTAACAGATTTGGGTTTTTTTATATTTTATTTCCATTTGAGTTTAATTGCTTTTTGATGATTGTCTGTCATAATATATTTTTTAGCTTTTTGGATTTTAAAGATGCCTGTTTTAATTTGTGTAAGCCGCCTTGAATCCCAGTCTGGGAAAAAGGTGAATATAAATACGTAAGTACAATAACAACAATAACAATGGAATGAAGGGCAGCATCTGGAAGAGGGAGGGAAAAGCAAAATCATATAGTTTGTGTTGGTTTGTCTCCCCCCCCACTAAATAAATATTTCTTTATTTATACAGTATATTCTCTCTTAGACATTCACACCCATTTGAGATGGTTCCAGAAGGATCTGATTTGTGGTGGTGTAATTTACCTGGGAGGAATTGGGGGGGGGCAGTGGTTAATTTCTAAATAGGAAAGTGTCATGGTTCAACCTTTCACAGGTGTTGCTTCCTCTCTGACCTAGAACCCCTGTCGTGAGGTCTGTGGCTGCTTAGGGGTGCCGTTGTGGGGGGTTGGGGAGCTGAGTGGAAGCAAAAGAAACCATAGCCGTTGCTTGTGGTTTTCCTTGACTCCTGGAACTCAGCAGAAACTATTTTGTCCTGCAGGCTTCTGAGCTCCATTGTGGTCCTTGGATTTCAGCTTGTCATTCCACAGCCCTCCATCGAACACAGAAAGGTGAGTGACCCACACAGCACTTCAGGACAATCTATTACACTTTATCTCCTGTTAATTGTGAGGCTGTTGCTGCAAAACAGCTGCTCCGTGTCATGGTAGGTTCCTTCATATATTGTTACATACCACCCCAATGTCCAAGTGGGGAGAGATTTCAGGGGTTCCAGGCACACTTACCCTTTTGGGATGAAGGTCAGGGGAGTCTGGGGTGTCTTTAGGATATGTGGTTTTATTTACACATATGCACGATGTGAACATAAGATGGAGGGGTTTACAGCATTAGCACCCCGACAGATATTTCTTCTCCATTAGTCACACCTTTGGATCCAGCACAGAACAAGCAGGTCTCGCCATCTCCAGTGTCCAGCCGGCTTCCGCTTCCGCTCTCTCGCCTACATTCTAGCTGTTGTTGTTCTACCTAGGAGGCAGGTGAGGGGCGTGGAGGAAAGGTCCACCCGCTAGCCTAAAGGACAGCCTCCCATAGTTGCAGCTCTTGCAGGCTAGCTTATTCTTTTGGGATGTGGATGAAGACACTTAAGTGACCTGCTAAAGTCCTTGTCTTACAAAGAAACTTGACTCCTTCAGCGATGGAATCCTCTATTTAGATTCTAATCCTCCCAAAGGACCCAAAGAATGGGAAGGGACTCGGAGCATCATCCAGACTGACTCCCACAACCCACAACAGTATTTGTAGAGCTTTTTCTTATAGGGCTGCTAATTTAGCAGAGCAAAAAAGCACAAAAGTTCCTAATCATGGGTTTCCAGGCACCAAAGGCAGACCCAAAAGTGTGCTTTCTGAGCATGGCAGTAGGTGGCCCAGTAAGCTTTGCATTTCACAGATGGGGAAGCGGGGCAGAGGAGGAGCATTTGACCTACCACAAGCCTATGACAAAGGGGAGGTTGCACCCAGCTGTCCCAGAATGCTATATTCACGCTGGCTTTCAAATGAAGTGGTTCTCACTGCTCAACTTGCAAAGCTGTCCCAGCAGAAATTCCATTTCAGTTTGATCTCAGGGCTCAACCCTGCAATAACACCCTGATCTGGTTGTTAATCCCCCTAGATGAATGTCTGTTTTTCATCCTTCAGAATTCACCCATTGTGGGTAAGTGAGTGGCATTTTTGTCCTGAAGGCACGGTGAGGTCCACAACAACTTTAATCTCTGCTGAAGGAGGGACCCCCCTCTCCCTACAGCCTAGTAATAACCATGTGCTGACTTCTGAGAAATGTAGTATTTCCTTTGGGTAGCAACGCCCCTCCCCCCAAACACACATTGGGATTGACATTTCCATTGTTCCTAAAGAATGTGGTTGTCATGCTAAGGTACTCAGGTTCTCTGCGCAGGTTAAACAGGGTTACTAGCAACTTCTAACAGCTTATATTTTCAAAAGGTGTATGGTCCTGACTTGCTTCCTTTTGTGTTGAGCTGGTTAGTCAGGGCCCCTCGGAGCTTGTGGCTCTTGAAATGATTGCATTGTCTGGACTGAGATGGGCAGGCCTCTCTGGTCAGTACTGGGTCTGTTATTTGTCCTGCCCTTCCACTATGCCAGCACTGGTGAGAACAGCATAATTAAGACATTTAAGAAAAAAGGGGGGGAAGTGCCCAGACGAAGAGCAACTCCGCCCCCCCATCCTGCCTGTTCATTCTAAGCTCCAGAGTGGTGTGATAAAACTGTAAATGGTTTCTTTGGGTATGTTGGAGTAGTAAATGAAATAAATTGCAAGTTTGGAAACTCCTTCTGAATTCTCTTAAAATGCCTGGCATTAGGGGACCTTTTTTCAGGTGCTCATGAGCGCTGCTGCCAACCATCTTGAAGCAGCCCATTTTGCTGGGAACAAGGGAGATTCTGAGAGTCTGGAGAGCCTCTCTGGGGATTCATGTTATAGAAGCTGGTTCTAAGCGTTCAGGCAGGAGGCACACGCTTGCTAAACTTTGTGGGACCCCAATCAGCTGCTGGGCAAGAAAGCTGTGGCTTCTCCTCCCCAAGGGCAAGGCAGACCCCTTTTTGCATGAAGTGCAAGTTCCTTCTGAGTGACTGCTCAGTGCTGTTGCCTTCTGGCGGAGGAATCTGACCGTTTCGGTTTGTCTCTGTTTCTCATTCTACCAGTTCTCGGCACTTCAGAATCAGTTTGCAAGATTATTGCATATTTCTCTTAAAACATGTCTTTTTGTGTGTAATTTGGGACGATTGACTGAGTTTTGCAAGCAATTTCCCACAATATAGTGCATTTCATGTGTTCTTTTCACATATGCATTTTATGTGCACTTTGCCCTAATGCATGCATTTTAAGTTAAGTATTTTAATTTATTTACTTGATGGGGGGGGCAGTTGCCCCCCTGCCACCCATGGCTAAGTCCATGGTGGTATTCACAGCAGCTAAAAAAAGAGAGAAACCTAAATAGCTTTTAAAATGATCCACTTTCCCCTAAAATACCTATGATGTATACATTCTTTCTTTAAAATACATAATTCTGCATTCTTTTCAATGCATTTTCTCCTAAAACATGCTGTTTTGTATGCATTTCCCCAGAAAATCTGCACTTTTCAATGCATTTCATAAAATACATATTTCTGTATGCATCCCCCCCCAGCCCTGAAAAAATACAGTTTCTATCCCACACTCCCAACTGAAGCAAATTCGGTCAGCTCACTTAAAAATGTGTCCTAATGAATTTTGCCTCCATCCCTAAGAAGCAGAAGGAATCAACTTTTGGTTCCAACCAGTGCTAGATCAAGGTTAGGTTCCCTAGGCTTAAGTTGCTCAGTGCTGGCATTCCTCCCCAGTAATTCTATCCACCGGCTACAGGGAGAGCTTTGTACATAAATCAATCTACAGAATGAATATCTTCTGCCTCAACAGTGGGATTCCTTGCAATCATAGCACTGAAACAATTTTAAACTGACAAACCGATCTGTGCAAACATTTTTTTAAAGGTGTATTTTAAAGCTGAACGATGACCAACCTTGACCCATGGAGCCTTCAGTGCTGCTTTGGCAGAATGGATTTGAGTTAAACCAGCCTCACTTTCTCACACTGCCCCCCCCCCCGCCAAGCACATGTGCTTTCCCTTAAGCCTAAAGCAAAGCATGTATGTATGTAAGTTCTGAAGGATCAGAGAGTTCAGTTTTTGGTGAAGGAAATGCTAGGATCCCTCTGCGTGCACCTTACACATCTGGTTTTGCTCTGGAAGGTAAGCACAGGAAATATAATCAGGCTTCGAGGCTTGGATCGTTGAGGGAATTTTCCATTAAGATATTTGTAAATAGTTCGATATTTCTTTATGGCAAAGTTCATTGGAAAATGAAGTGACAACAAGAAAATCTGCAGCGTATTGGACAGGAATCAACTGACTTGCCAGTTCTGTTTCCCCAGACACCTATAATGCAGCTATGAGCCTTCTTTACGGAGAATTTAATTGTGGGTGTGTTTTAATTTTATTTACATTTTAAAACCATTTCTGTCCTGTCTTTTCAGTTTTATGAACACCCAAAGCAGCATTAGTAAATATTGGAATGAATTAGTAGTGATAGTATCTCTGCATTATGTGTAATTACTATGAACAACCAAAAGAGATCAGCAGGTAAAGTGAACCCTGAAGAGGAGAAGAGTCCAGGGCCAAGTGCTGAGCCCTCCCTTCTCTATTTTTTTTTAAAAGATATTTATTCAAGTTTTACAAAAGAAAGCATGAGTTTACAAAATAGAGAAAGTAATAACAACAATTAACAAACTAACATTATAACAAGAATTAACAAACTAAAAAACACACATAGGGGAAAATTTTAACATTCATTAATTTTACAGTATTTCTGCAAATAGTCTTTAAATTTCTTCCAATCTTCATCCACCGACTCTTCTCCCTGGTCTCGGATTCTGCCAGTCATTTCTGCCAATTCCATATATTCGATCACCTTCGTCTGCCACTCTTCCAGTGTGGGTAAATCTTGTGTCTTCCAATACTTTGCAATCAGTATTCTTGCTGCTGTTGTTGCATACATAAAAAATTTTCTATCCTTCTTTGGCACCAATTGGCCGACTATGCCCAAGAGAAAGGCCTCTGGTTTCTTCAGGAAGGTATATTTAAATACCTTTTTCATTTCATTATAGATCATCTCCCAGAAAGCCTTAATCTTTGGGCAGGTCCACCAAAGGTGAAAGAATGTGCCTTCAGTTTCTTTACATTTCCAACATTTATTATCGGGCAAATGATAGATTTTTGCAAGCTTCACTGGTGTCATGTACCACCTGTATATCATTTTCATAATATTCTCTCTTAAGGCATTGCATGCCGTAAATTTCACACCTGTGGTCCACAACTGTTCCCAGTCAGGAAACATAATGTTATGTCTGAGATCCTGTGCCCATTTAATCATTGCAGATTTAACCGTCTCATCCTGAGTGTTCCATTTTAACAGCAAGTTATACAGTGGTGCCCCGCAAGACGAACGCCTCGCAAGACGGAAAACCCGCTAGACGAAAGGGTTTTCCGTTTTGGAGGTGCTTCGCAAAACGAATTTCCCTATAGGCTTCCTTCGCAAGACGAAAGCCCATAGGGAAATCTCCGGGACAGCGGGGAAGCGCAGCGCGTCTTCCCCACTGTCCTCGGACCTCTTCCGAAGCCGGGCGGCGGGGCGGGAACACCTCCCGCCGCCGCCCGGCTTCGGAAGGCTCCTCCGAAGCCGGGCGGCGGTGCAGGTACACCTTCTTAAGGCCGGCGGGGGGCAAAAGTCTTTGTTCCCCCCTGGCTGCCTTCCCGGGAGAGCGGAGAAACGCAGCGCGTTTCTCCGCTGTCCCGGAAGGCTTTTGAAGGCAGGCGGGGGGGAGCAAAGACTTTTGCCCCCCGCCCGCCTTCAGAAGAGGTCCTGGATCTCTTCAGAAGGCTGGCGGCGGGCAAAAGTCTTTGTCCCCCCTGCCTGCCTTCCCAGGGGCTTTTAAATCGCCCCGGACAGCGGAGAAGTCCTCCGCTGTCCCGGGGCGATTTTAAAATGCCGCCCGCCAGCATTT